TTAAATTGAGTCGAATTAATAGGGCTGGACGAGATTAGATTCACTAGATTGAATCCATTGGAATGGATTGGAATGGATCAACTGGATTGGTTTGATAGGGTTGGACTGGATAAGATTAATTGGATCGGATAAACTGGATTAAATTTAGTTGAATTAATAAGGCTGGACGAGATTAGATCAACTGGATTAGATTAGTTGAATTGAATTGGATTAATAGCGTTGTACTGGATTAGATTCACTGGATTGGATTAATAGGGTTGGATTAATTGGATTGGATCAATTGGATTGGACTAACTGGATTAAATTGAGTCAAATTAATAGGGCTGGATTGGATTAAATTAACTGGATTTGATCGATAGGGTTAGATTAACTAGATTTGGATTGACTTAAATTAATAACATTGGACTAGATTAGATAAACTGGACTAGATGAACTGAATTGAATTGGACTAATAGCGTTGAACTGGATTAGATTAATTAAATTGAATCAATTGAATCGAATTAGTGAATTGAATTGATTGAATTGAATTAATAGGGCTGGAATGGATTACATTAACAGTATTGGATTGTTTGGATTAAATTCGATTAATAGCGTTGGGGATCGGATGAACTGGACTGCATTGGGTTAGTAGGGTTGGACTGGATTAGATTGACTGAATTGGATTGGATTGACTTGCATTGATTTGATTTTGATTTGAACTGATTTGAATTGAGCTGATTTGAATTGATTAATCGAATTGGTTTGAATTGGATTGAATCAAATTGGATTGTTGCGATTTATACTGACTTAAATGAATTGATTTGAACAGATTGAATTTCATTGCATGGGGTTGATCAGGTTGGGAGGTCCCGGGCCATTGTGAGGGTCGGGCCTTTTCGGACTTTCGGACACTTGCACATCTTGCTTCGAAAGTCCCCAAGCCGCCCGATTCCGGATTCTAAACTGCAATTCTCTCTTTCAATGTTCTCCTGAAAATAGCCCGTATATCCGAACCAGGCTATCCGGAGGCATTATATCGGGACTGCCATCCGGCGTAGCACAGTCTTATCCGCCGATCATAATTCAGGTCAAACCCGTGTTTCGAGACCTCAAATATCTGCCTTTTGTAGACGCCCGGTTCCAGGCAAGATGCGATCCCAGGGCTCCACTGTGCTGGTTCCGGGTCTTGACTTTGGCACTTTCACATAATCCTCCCGAATCCAGGTCGACCAAACCAACCCGAGCCTCTAGGCTGGTTTTATGTACATGTGAGGATATTCACGCCACTCGCAGGTCTCTTCATTCTCTGCTCCGCTATTTTGAGCATCATTGGGTTCTCAGCCAGCAGCTCAAATCCCCTTACTTTCAACGGCCGGCAACAGACTCTAAGCCTCTTTATTCGAGCTTTTCCATGTTCATCGAAATCTTCACTTCTGACGAGTCTATCTCCAGGCATTCCTTACGGAGCGCTGAGATTGGCCGCCGGATTATTGGCACTCAACGGTGGCTTGAGGCATGCGAGATGATGAGACATAACCTTTTTTTAGAATCATCAAAATGCCCCGTCGCAAGTAAAATGACATTTCGATCCGAGTTTTGATCCCACCCACAAAGCGTCGTCTGTGGCGTTTCCTGGAACTTCTCCAGAGAAGTCCTGAGACGAGAAGACTGCGAGCTCCGAGCATGAGAGTAGCTGGAGGCCTCCCCCAAATGCTTTGACTATGGACAAGTCCCATTTGTGAGCCGTTGAGAATAGTGCATGCCTCCATACATGCGCCCATTCGCCCATCCCATGAGTGTATCAATACAGGCATCACAAGGTAGACTGGTATGGCCGGTATGCAAGGCCATCATCACGAGGACCTGTCAAGTCGTTGACTAAAAATACGGCCTTTTCCGTCGAGCCCGGAGAAGCCCTGGCTCTGGCCGTAAACAAACTCTAGTCTGGTCCAAGCCAGTTCGGCTCCGAATGCCCAGACCAACACGGCGAGACCGAGCCATGCCATCCTTTGGCGAGCATGCATAAAGCAGAGAGATTAGAAACAAAAGAGCAGAAAGGCTCCAGCCGGCGGTCTACTGCCTTACCAAGCCTCTCTTCGTTGGACCTGTGTGATTCGTGATATTGTACTGTGCTTCGTTAAGGGTTGGATACGCCGAGGATCTTGCGTGAGTAGTCAGCCTCGTCTGCTAGAGAGCCCTCCGAGATCCGCCGGCGTCCCATCATGACCGGATTTAGCCGGGGGTCCGTCAACCCTCCCACGCCAGCGCTGCTGACCCGCTTCTCGGACAATTCGTCCGCTGGATGCTCGAACGGATTGACCATGGGCATGTCGAACACAGAGTCGATCTTACTGGACTTGGCCCGCGACATGCTTCCGCCCCCACCGCCCGCCGCGCCCCGCTTGAAGTAGTCCTCCTCCTCATCGTGGTTTTTGGACTTCCTGCGGATAAAGAAAAACACGATGGCGGTAACAAAGGCGAGAGCCGCGAGGCCACCAACCACACCGCCCACAATGGGACCGATGCTGGTGGACGAGCTGCTGCTGGCACTACTGGGCGCTGAGGACGCGCTGGACGAGCTCGAAGACAGCGTGGACGAGTCTGCTGTCGTTGCGTGCACCCCGCTGCTGGTGATGCCCGACGCGCTCGACGTCCTGAACGAGGAGGAATTGATGGTCGTGGTGCTTGTCGACAGCGAGCCGTTGTCAGTGGTGGAAGAGGCTGCTGAGGGCCGGGAGCCGCTGCTTGGCGACGTGCTGGATTTCAGTGATTCCAGCGACGTGGTCGACGTCAGGGTGGTGCCCAGATACTCCAAGTTGGTGAAGACGGTGTAGGCGTCGGTGCCGCCGCACGTCTCGGAGCCGTAGCCGTTGCATGGCACGGAGCACAGCGAGCTGCTGGTTTCATCCAGGCTGCTGGGAAGCGCACTCAAACAGTAGCATTCGCCGCCATCTTTCATGGCAATATAGGGGTAGCTCTCACCGCACGCGGTGGAGCAGGTGATTTGCGTGCCGTACTGCTGGGTGCCTTCGAAGACGGAGGTGTCCACCAGGGAGTAGCAGCCCTCGTCGGCGGAAACTAGGCTGGCTGCGAGCCATATCCACGCGGCCAAGTACAACATTGTAGAGCCACGGTCCACTGGATGTGAGGAGATAGCCGGTATCTGCTGAAGCCGTTTATCCGGGAGTCAGTCGTTGATCCAGGTGGTCAGTATATTCAGGTCGTTTACACGATCTGACGTCTCAGACTAGAGTTCCGCTTCGAAAGACACTGGTAAATGTGTCCAGGTGTGCGGCAATGTTTCTGCGGGTTGACAGCAAACGGGCTCGAAGAGGAATAGGGTGTTTCTGCGGATTGACTATCACGAAGTCGACGCCTCTTTATTTCTTGAACCCAGATGAAAAGGGCGGGCAACAGCGAGGGTATAAAGAAGGCGCAATGTAGAACACTAGCGGCCAGGAAACGGATGTGGGTTCGGGGAATCCGACAAATAAATATCGAAGGTCCAGGGATCTGGCAGCACGAGGTTTTAAGTGGTGTGTGGTTAGCGTCAAGGGCAAATTTCCTAGCCGGCGCGTATGAATAAAAGTGGTTGGATAAGGGAGCGCTCAAAAAAGCCAAGAGTTCTTGTGAGCGAGCGGTATTTTTAGCGCTGGCTCCAAATCGTGCTGGCTCGGGATTGCGCTGTTTTCTCCGCCGAGCTTTACTGGCTGGAGCTTGGCGGCTTGGTTTGCTTGTCCTACTTTGACAACAGCGGGTACGGGCAAATACAGATAACGAGAAAGTGGCACGTGTGGGAAAACGGTTCAAACAGCAGAATCTCACGTTGGCCGGCGGCTGTGCTCTTTAAGAAAAAAAGCTCGGTCTCAGAAAGGAAAGCGGAGCCTTGAGAAAGAGCGGATGCCAGATGCGAAAGTGAGAAGAAAAAAGAGGTTTTCTCGGGCCTGCCTGTTTGAGGTCGAGGGCACGGCACGAGAGTCTGGGGTTTTTATCTCAAATAAGCAGGCCAGCCAGAACGGGAAGTAATTCTAAGCCTATGGACCCGAAAAAACGTGGGATTTCCTGAACATAGGCCCCGGACAGGCACGACAGACGCACGCGTGTCGAGACACGATTTCGTTTTGGCGGGGCGCGCTCCTCTGCATGGCCCTAATATATCCATGTCTGAACGAGAGCTCCGGCAGAGGCACCGACCCTTGTTCTTATCAGTAAGAACAAAGCGGGTTGTGAGTAAGAATGACTGGCCAGAAGCACTGCGGCCGAAGAGGATTTGGTTTTCATGCTTGGAGCTGGAATCTCCCCGGCTTCGCTTAATTAGCAGGCCATGTAAACGGGGCGAGAAGGCGCGCACATTTGGCGCTCTTTTGGGCGTTCTGTTCCAGGGCCTATTGGACAGTGTGGCTTGATCCCCGAGAGTGTATATGAGAAAACGACCGGGCGGATCCTCATACGGTGATCCGAGGAACATCATATATTGGCAGGTGACGTTTCCTTTTTTAGAGTGCCCTCTTCGGGCCTCACATTACGGACGATTTGATGGGTAAATGGTAGCGAATATTGCAGCCTGGACGTGGAACCTCATAACCCCCAATCTAGGCTGGGGCCTTGCACGGATGCTGAGCACAGATGAACACGAAAAATCAACGGGCCGGCCATGCGGTGCTATGAGCTAGGCCGCCTGGATCACATTTTTCTGATACCAAGAAATACGAAAAGCCTGGCCCAAAGCAGTAGATCGTGTGTTACTGCGACAGTGTGACTTGTGACGCCACCTCCACGGATGAAGTGACATCACCTGCTTGCCGTCCGCAGACCCTCCCAATGTTTCGACAAAGTTTCGACAATGTTTTGATCGTGATTTATTTTCGACATTTTCCGACGGTATTTGCACATTTTCTCTCCTCGGTGGAGTGCGATCTTGGTCACCCATACCCAAACTGAATGCCTATTTTTATCGGGAAGCTTCTTTTCTGGGAGCCTGGAGCAAAAATTGCATCCGCGTAGAGCAGGTCTAGACCGAGAGGCGCGCCGGTGGCTTGGGTATTTGGTCTGGGTGCGGGCTGCAAACCTAGGACCGGATGCAAATTCGAAGTTAGTTCTAATTGTAGGGCTAAGAGTTTGCCACGGTTCGTGCTTTAGTGCAGTCTTTCTGGATATTTGGTTGCTTGAGTAGACTTAAGCAATAGCCAAAGTCCAAAGATTACAGTTTTCCGGTATGCTGTGCGGATCGTACCGGACAGAGGGTCTCGCCAGAATAGGATAAGACAATAGTGATTTCGGATGGAGATGATCAAGGCCTTCGAAACCAAAAGGCTCGTGGTGCGGAATATTTCGGACTTAGGTTCTATATGTAAGTTTATTGGGTGACGCTGTTGGCGAAACACGGCCGAGGGCATTCTAGTCTTTAGTGTTCTGGTACATACTCTTTTGATCACTGTTCTGGTACATACTCCTTTTCTCAGTGGTGCCGGAAAGCCAAATTCCGCTTTCTTTGCTTTGAATCAACGCATCCCTTTTTGCACCACTTGAAAAGCTCTTTCTACTCCGAAGCTTCTTATTCGTGTCCTGCTTTAAATGACTACATTGTGAGGCAGAAAAGCACCAGGACCTACCATGGAGTCCATATTGACATGAAAGATAGATTGACATGAAAGATAAATTGACATGAAAGATATGACACGAGAATATATGACATGAAAAATATATGACACGAAAGATATATGACACGAAAAATATATTGACATGAAAAGTACATTGACATGACACATGAAAACAAGGTAAGCGGTCGAATTTTTAGATCCACTTTGGCATCTAAAACTGTTGGTGGGCCATCGTAGCAAGCCGAATTGAGTAGTTGTGGAGGATTTTTGATACTCGAGTGAGTTGGCCGGTCTGCTTCACTTTTTTAAGTAACACGGGGAAATGGGCCTCATATAGAAAACTCGAGAAAAACGTGCTGACTTGATTTTTCAGCGAGATATTCGGTACTTCGTTCTATTAGTCCGAGCACACACTCACCAGTGTTCGTCACGGTTGTTCTATGAAAGAAGTAACTGTACGAGCGAAATGCTTACGATCTTATTAGAAGACAATAAAGACTGGTGTAATTTGTTCATATTATTAGCCTTGAGTTTCGTACTCTCAAAATACTTCCTCGAGGCATCAGTCTCGACTGTTGGAAATAGCATCCACCGCGTTTTGTATTCATGGACATTCATGTTACGTAGTCAGGCCAGACTTTCATATAAAAAGCGAGTCAGAGACCATATATTTACTAGAAATGAGCGTTAAGGTTCATTCTTCTTTGCTTCGAAGAATCATCAGCTCAGGGATCCATGATTTCAGTGCCCTACTGTTTGAAGATGAACTTGCATGCTAGGGGGTCTCTGTACCGGAGGTTTTTGACACGGAGGTCCAAAACTCGTGAGCCCTCGAGATCTAATGCACGAGCCCATAGCAGGACAAACGGCGGTATAGGTTTGCTCATAGGAACAAACGAATCATGGGCATGAATGAGCACATCTGCGTTGTTTTGACGCAGATCCACAGAGGAACCTCCGAGAACAGCGAGCGCTCTACAGTTGTATAGCAGTTCTTCAAAGAGCTATTGAGATCTTGGTCTCGCTGGTGATCAAAACTGAGCACCCAAAGCAAGACGGAGTAAGATTGATTACATGTCGGTACTGTACCTTTTTGAAGCACGCCTGTTGTCCCCACGTATTCATATAATTCGTCAAAAAACCAGGCTGGTGAATCAAATGTCGTATTATTTATGGTTAACAGCAGACTCCATCACAGTTTGTCATCCTATCCAGGGCTAAGGGACAGGTAATATATATACGGTGTCGAAAATGTCGTCTCAAAACCCAGCCATGTGAAACAAGCAAGAGTCATGTCCTACTTCCAACACTTCATGTACATGATAAGCCACCCCGCAACGAGAAACACCTCCAACATTACCATCTTGTTTCTCCACAGGCAGATTCCTTGCGGTTGTCGCTGAGACTTGTGGGTCACTGGCGCTGGTAGCTCGTCCTTTTTCTCGCAATTTGCTGAGACTCTTTCAACCTGCTGAGCCGCTTTTGCCGGTATTACCATACACATCCCCAACAAGCAAGGGACTTGCCTGCTAAGAATCACCTATTCGCGTTTCGCCATACTGGACGATCGCTCTCAGACTAGAGACAGGAATCTCAGGTGGCCAGAACGGACCTAAATTGAAGACGTCCATGCACTGTTAGGCTTTACGCAAAAAGCAGGAATTTCACACCATTGTCATTGCTGCTGAAATATGACTGAAGATGTAGAGCCACGTCCGCAGGTGGACCAGACTGTCGCTAGGCCTTGCACCCGGACATAGTGCAACATTTCGCACCCTGCAACCACGGCTGGCCTGAGGACCAAAGGGTCATGCCTATTCTTGCTTGCAATATACTTATACACCACAGATGGATAAAACCCGTATGTGTACGCTTTTCATATTCTACAGTATGTGCCGCCGCGCTTTGCAGCGACAGACGACCATTCCCCCACGGTCTTTTATGCTTCCTCGTTGACAGAGACCCCGGCCACCTTCTCCTCGAGACCGGTCTCCCCAGACGCGCCGGCCTCGTCGCCAGACTCGCCCTCAACGGACAAAACGTCATAGATCGACTTCTGGGGCTTGGGCTGGTCCTTTTCCTTGTCGTCCTGCTTGGCCTTGGTGCTGCTGGCCGCGGCCTTGGGAGGCAAGGCCTGGCCTCTCTTCCAATCAAACTCCTTCTCCTCCTTCTTTCTGAAGCTGGCGCCGGCACCGGGGGCAGGGCCCAAGCCGGAGCCGCGGGCGCTGGACCAGTCCATCTCCAGTTGTTCTTTTCTGGGCGCCCCCTCTCTGCGGAAGCTGTCCCTCTCTCTTTGGGGCAAGGGCGCCGCGGACCTGGCCGAGCCCCAGTCCAACTCCGGCTCGTCCCTTCTGGGCCTTCTGTCGGCGAAGTCTCTGTCGCCAAAGTCTCTGTCGCCCCTTCTGTCGCTTCTCTCTCTGGGAGGCAATGCAGAAGCGGTGGTTCTGGCAGCGCCCCAGTCCAAGTCGGGCTCGTCTCTTCTGGGTCTTCTCTCGCCAAACTCCCGGTCGCCCCTCCTGTCACCTCGAGGAGGCATGGGGCCGGACGAGCTTCTGGCCGAGCTCCAGTCCAAGTCGACCTCCTCACTTCTTTCACGCGTGTCGCGGCCCATGGGCCCGGTCCTGGACGATCTCCAGTCCATGTCGAACACGTCGGCCTTCTGGGGCGCCGCCACGTTGACGAAGATTTTTCTGCCGTTGAACTCGGACATTGTCAAGTTCAACGCCTCCTCCAACACGGCTCTCTCGGTGAACGTGACGAAGGCAAAGCCCTTGGGCCGGCCGCCCATCTCGTCCATGGGCAACTTGACGTCCTCCACCACGTTTTGCGCCTGCAATCTGTCCTCGAAGAAGCGCGCCAACGCACCCTCCTCGGCGTCGTAGGGCAAGTTGGCCACACGGGCCTTGTATGGAGGAGCGTCCGGCACGGGGTACTCGATTCTGTCGGCTCTGGCACTGTCCTGGGCACCGAAGTCTGGGCGGTAGTTGCCAACTGGCGCCGCGGTCGAGGAAGTGGGCACGCCGATCGACGACATGTCGACCTCCTCGTCGGCCCAGGAACCGTAGGACTCGTCGGCCAAAAAGGCGCCCAAGTCCATTTTCTTCATGTTCTTCTTTGGTGCTAAAGGGTTAGTACAACGGTAGGGGAGGGCCGATTGCCCGGGGGTTGGTGAGCCTGTCTGATGATCACGAATGCACGATTCGGACACCTGCACGTCTGCTTGTTGGTGGGAGGGTCTGGTTTCCGGCGACAAAAGACATGGTTTCTGGCGATAAAAGACATGGTTTCGGGCGACAAAAGACATGGTTTCTGGCGATGTGAGGGGGCTGATTCTCGGGTATCCTCTTGTGTTTCACATGCCAGGAGCCATCTTCAGGGACCGGGGACACGTGGCTGCCTAGAGGTCGGGCACGGCGCCGGGACGGTTCTGTGTTTTCTCAACATACGCATGTTGTAGGTGTTTCACTTGGTGGCAGTCGGATGTGGTTCAAGAGAAAAATTTTCCGTTCTCTCTTTTTTTTTTTTCGAAATTCCTACGCTTTTTTTCCTAGACGCTTGTTTCGCGCGGCTCGGGATGTGCCCTCGCTTTGTTTGGCGCACAGCTGGAGGTGGTGATGTCTATTCTGGGGGATAAGTTAAACGAGGCGCGGGTCTCCGTCGCCGGCCCGGCTTGGCCAGCGGGGCCTGGGGCCTTTTTTTTTTTTTTTTCTTGACTTTCCCAGCCAGACCAAGTGGGCTAGAGACGAGAGCTGTGCCGCGGGCCCACAGGCGCGGAACCGGCTGCACCGCCATTTCTGGGCCGGGCCACGTTGCGATTGGCACTGCCCAGACGTCAAGCCCCATGCGTAGATACGAAGATGAGGAAGGATTGGGGCCGGATCTGAAGCTTATGCCATTTGATATTTGGACGGGGCGTCAAGACCAAACCAAGACGTTTGAGAGTAAGTCTCATCCACGCATGCCTTTATACCTGAGTTCTGTTCCAGCCAATCTGGAAGAGCAGCGCCTGAGGAAAGCCGCGTCACCGGCGGTCGATAGCCCTGTAGTTTTTCATCAGCTGAACACTTCTCGATCACAAACACTTCTTGATCACAAGTACTTCCTGACCACAATCACTCCATGAATGTTGGAAGTAAGCTCATCCTTGGATGAAGTGTGCAACCAACGTCCACGCTGCTGTCAGCCGGGATGAACTCGTCATTTGGAACCACTAGTGGCTGATATGACACGGGCCCGCCTGTCCAGCCCACACCAATTGTAGCACCAAACACCGTGCTCGTACTTCTGTTTGGTTCTCCTCCTGAAGCTAAACCCTGTCTTCGACAGACTCGCGTCTGGCGGCGGCGTCTTCCAGGGCCTCGCGATTCTCGTGGGTCGAAGAGGCGTCCTGCGGCCTGAGCTCTCTCATTTCCACGGCATCGCCCGAGGCTAGTTCTGGCGTGCTGCCCTCCGCACCGGCTCCGGGCCCAGGCGCTTGAACGCCTGTAGTCGGGGGCCTCGGTCCATCTTGAGGCCTGTCGCTGTTGGTGTTTGCAGTGTCCAGAGAAGCCCGCTCCTCTTGGTAGATCTTGATCACAGCCCAGTTGTACAAGTCTCTCTTGGAGATGCCCATCAACTTCCAGAAGAAGACCTTGAACACGTTCCCGTATCTCTTTTTGGCGACGCGTTTGGCCCTGGCCTCCATGTCGAGCTCGGGGAATTCGTCCAAGAGAACGCGCACTCTTTCGGAGAGGGGAACGAGCTCGTTGAAGAGGGCCTGGATGTTTGGGTCTGTGCGGATGACGTCGAGGTCGAGGTCTCGCAAAGGATTAGTATCGTCGTCGTTCTGGGTGTTCTGAGGCTGGGTGTTCTGGGTGTTCTGAGGCTGGGTGTTCTGGGGCTGGGCACTCTGGGCACTCTGGGCACTCCGGGCAGTCTGGGCATTCTGGGCGTCGCTTGTGTTTGCAGCAGGCTCGGCTGGGCCGGCCTCGGTTGTTGGCTGCTCGTTTCCGTCAGCCGCAACCACAGCACCCCCCTCTTCGGCGATGGCCGGGCTGCGGGCACCCGGCTCCCGATTCTCCCCGCCGCCGTCCGGGATGGCCGAGGACTGCGCATGGTCGCCGCCGTTGGCATTGTCTTCGCCCGGGCCAGCCTCGCCCGTCCCGCTGAGCCCCTCCTCTTCGATAGTGGCGGGCCCCGTCCCAGTGGTGGCTCCCTCCTCCTTGTAATAGTCTCGCTTGCAGATGGGGCAACAAGCGCGGCGCCGGGTCAACCACGGATCCACGCAGTCGGCATGGTAGACATGTCCGCAGATGAGCCCCCGCACCACGTCGTCCAGCTCGTATACCTCGAGACAGATGGAGCAGGAGCCCGAGTCGAAGTGCAACTCGGTTTTGCCTTTCAGCAGCGCATTCAGCGACGAGGAGTCCAGCTCGTGGGGGGCCGGCGGCGCAAGCTCCACGACGACCGGGTCCGGGCCGGCGTCTTCTTCCTCGGTTATGCTGACGGCTTTGGCGGCCGCCGGCATGGCCGAGGAGGCCTCGGTGAAGTCCGGCGACGAGACGGACGTGGCGTCGTCGCCCGTGCCGAGCCAGTCGGCATAGATGCACTTGGGAAACAACTCCTGCACCTCCTCGGGCGTGAGCTTCTTCATCTTGGCAAAGCGGCCTCTTCTTCTTCGGCGGCGGCGGCCGCGGCTGGACAAGATGCGCCGCTCCAAGAAGTCGTCGCGGAGAAGATGGTGGTTGCGGAGGTACTCCAAGTGTTGCTGGATCTCGCGGTCCGTGTATGGCACCAGCACGTGGGGGCTGCCTGCACGCGGCAGGAACATCACTCCCCGGCTGGTGGACGAGTGGAGGTGGAGCCCGTACTTGCCCCGGATGAAGTACCGGGCCGTGAAGAAAGTGAAGACGAGGGCGATGGACACGCCCACGGCCATGGCGAGAAAAAAGAGCACCGTGGACGGCATGTTGCCGACAAAGGTTGCGCCCGAGGTGGTGGACGACACGTCTGTCGCGGAGCTGGAGCTGGTAGCGGCTGACGACACGCTGGATGTGGCTGACGACACACTGGACATGGCTGACGACACGCTGGACATGGCTGACGACACGCTGGACATGGCTTAGCGGGCACTTGGCGGCGGGCCGGGTTCCCGGAGAGCTCCGGGAAATGGGCAGTCGAGGCGGCGGCAAGCCGAGGTTCGGAGCCGGCAAGACTGGGCACAAATGCGGGAGGATCCTAGGGCGCACTCCGTGGTCAGCAACCTTGTGGCTTTTCTGATTCCGCGGTTGTGGCTTTTCCGACAATTCAGAGTGACGGTTCGGCGCTGGGGATGGTCCTCGGCAGCTGGCCTCTCGCTATATGGGTCCTTTTTTCCTGCTGGGCGGACGAATCTACCAACGTTCGGCACAAGAGCGTTTCAGGAATGTCACGGATTGCTAGCAACGGGCGGACGATGAAACAGAAAGCTCGGCCGGAAAGAAGCTGCGGGTCCGGGCTAGTTAAGCAAAACGCGGGATGGGGCTGACAAATGGGTGTCGACTTGCAGGGCTCCAGAGCTGACTCCGATGGCAAAATGCGATGCTGGCGCTATTGCGGGGCTGGACGGCGGGCGCTCTTTTGCGTGGGTGAGGTCATAGCCTTTCCGAGACGGGCAATCTTGCGGCGTGCATGCAGGACCTGTGATGCATGGGGCCAGGATCCTCGCGGCTGAGGGCCGGGACCTTCGCGGCTGAGGGCCAGTCGCCCGGGGCAGGCGCCGTTTTTTTCGGCCCGTGGCGGCGCAGCGTGCCCGAGTCCCAATCAACACCACGAACCCGGGGCGGAAATGCCAAAACGTGGTCTTTTTTTTGAATGACAAAAGCATAGCACCCGGCTGGCGTGGAAACGGCCGACAGGGAAGAGGCGCTGTTTTCTTGCGTAACTGCAGCCGGCTTAAATTACGACGTGTTGTGGCCCCATCGATAAGAAACATGGCTGAGCATGCCCAAGGACGTCACGACGGAGGCGCGGGTTTCCTGAGGCGCCGCGGGCCGCGGCGTTCGGGCCCAGCCTCTCCCAATCTTTGCTTCGTGCTTCTGATGTTTCTCTGCTGGGATCCCTGCGTTTATTTTTTCTTTTTTTGCTGGTGCTGGCAAACTTTGTTCTTACCAACTGGTCCTGGCACGTGTCTGTGTCTGTGTCTGTGTCTGTGTTTTTTTCTGTCTGGTGTTTTTTTCTGTCTGGTGTTTTTCTGTCTGGTGTTTTTTCTGTCTGGTGTTTTTCTGTCTGGTGTTTTTTCTGTCTGGTGTTTTTCTGTCTGGTGTTTTTCTGTCTGGTGTTTTTTCTGTCTGGTGTTTTTTCTGTCTGGTGTCTTTTCTGTCTGGTGTCTTTTGCTGTCTGGTGTCTTTTTCTGGTGCCTGGTGTCTGGTGATTATGATTAGTCTTTTCTGGGCCCGTGCGGTATTCGAGACGCTCCAGCTTCTCTGCATCTCCAGGCGCTTTGGCTTCACGCAATATTGAGGTGCTCAAGGCCCTAGAAACCCTTGGGCGCCCACGCGTTTCTGGACTCCTAACGCTTTGGCTTTTCGGGAATTCAATTTGGTTTGGGTCCAGGAGCCCTTGAAATTTGCGTAT